GCCCGCAAACCCCCTTGTTCGGGTGTCGCTACAGGCATTCCTCCGCTAACTAAGTTGCAACACCAGATCGATGTTAAGGAAGCTCGTGTCACGTCACCAAACCACCCCGCAATGAACTTGTTTTGCGTCAACTCGAAGGGATGTGCAGCGTGCGCGGTGTATCACGCACTCTTTCGCACCGACCACGATTGATTCCCGTCCGTGCGAGTACCGAAAAACTCTTGTCTTCGACTTTTTGCCCATAGTAGTACGGTACGAGTCGATTGAGAGTCTTTGCCGTGTAGTAGTTGTAGCACTTCTTCTTCCCGAGAGCGCGGGGCAGACCTAACCTTAACAGGAAGACACGAGATAATACACCACAACCATACCTATGAGGGACAACTATTACTGTCAAGAAACAGAAGGAACACCGGACCTGCCCCTTTTCCGTGCAAGTGGCGTTCTGTTCTATCAGGTAGATACCTAACTTGCACACACGTGAGACTACATTAGGCTACGCGCTGAACCGCGCCAACACAACTATTTTTGAAGCAAACAGGGTGGTGGGTGGCGGTCGAATTCCAACCCTATCCCCCCTAAGCTTGAGCCCCGAAACGTTTACAAGCACTGCAGGAGGAAGGTGGGGCATAAAGCCAAGACCAAGATTGAAGAAAAGCTCCTGCCTGTATGACCCCGGCTGAGATTCGTCAACCATTAACACAGAAAGGTGTGGACCGGTGCTAGAATAGAGTAGATTACAGTAACACACACAAACAACAATAAGTCCTTCTCCCCCCGCCCCAGGCCACACAACAATATTGTTCATATGCATATATTATGCGGCAAATCGTCAAGAAACTGTTACAAATCATTAATAACTACAGACTGCTTTGTTACGACTGTAGGTTCTGTAGGTGTTGGGTCACCCAACCCCACCACTCTATGCTAACCCCTAGACTGCACAACCGCCCCGCCGGAAATTCCCCCAGACCTTGGATCAAGAGGTTTCATTGTGGAGCGCGACCCGCCGTCCTCTTCCACCACCGCGGTCCCCTCCCCGCCCTTCTCGTCGTCCTCCTGCTCCTCATCTTTCTCTCCCTTGGCGTTCTTGTCCTCCGTGATGGGCGCGATCTTCCCCACGCCCATGAAGTTGAGGTTCAGGGTCACACTACTCTTCCGACGCCCCAGGTTCACACTACTCTTCCGACGCCCCTCCGCCGCACCGCCGCCACCGCTGCCGGCGCGGCCGCCGGTGCCGCCACTGACGCTGCCAGTGTTCTTGGTGACGGAGCCGCGGCGACCGAACGAGTGTGTGTTGGTCATGGTGGTGGACCCCCTGCGCTCCGCGGGGTTGGCTGGAAGGTCGCCGTACATCCACAGCTGACCATTTCGGTATGGTTTGGAGATATTTTTAGGTGATGCCGTTTTTGTTGATTGTTGGGGAGAGACAGAAAAGAAGGAGTAGACGAGAAGGCACGGGGCTTGAGACGATTAAACTCGAGTTGTTGTCAACAGGGAAAGCTGGACATACCACTAAATACAGCTAGATATGTGTACATGTCTGCCATCAACAAGCGTGATAAGCGTGATGTATCACAACATACGCTTCCATCAAGCAGGAGAGTAGTAGTGGCCCTTTGGTTGTGCACTCGGTACTACGCAATAAACAGACAAGACTTACTGTAGGTGAGGGGAATTAATGAGAGTGTTTCTCCACGAACTGTTTCTCGCCAAAGACGAGATGACTATGTAGTGTCCATCGTTTCAAACCACGAAGAATTGCGAATGCTACATTTTTCGACAGACATCAAGTTCTTCCATTTCTCTGATGGAGACATCCATCTCCAGCAACCTTATCACCCTTGTCCGAATCGGCACCTCACTTCGTCTAACAGGAATCCTTTTAGAGGGGAGAAAGCGAGACCCTACTACTTCTAATGTGTTACCTTAAACCACGCACCAAAAACGCAAGAAATAACTCGCAATTTTCAGTGTACATTCCTTCGGTAGGGTATGTAGCCTATGTGTCCTATTTCCACCCGTCGTCCGTGTACATCACAATCCATTCTCTGCAAATTATCGTGACGCTGAAGTTCAACTGAAGGCGTCAGTTGGGCTGAGACATCAGCATACATCGTGACTCGATCGAGCAGACTTCGGCCGTAGGTTTTGCAGGGGTTCAGTGCATGGTTCAAGCCAACACCAGCATGAGGCAAGAAGCATGCAACATGCCACATGCAACATGCAGCTTAGGGCCGTCTCTCCATGAAATAAGGCCAAAAACGCCGAAAGCAAGCCAAAATGTCTATTTAGCCCTAGGGTACGCCAACTTGTTGAAACAAGCGCAAGAAAATAACACACACCTGGTAAACCTTCGGTACGAAGAGCACGGAGACAGCGAAGACCGTTCCGCCGATCAAGGTGAAAGCGCTAGCCCCTACTCCTATGACGGCGACGCTAGTGTCCTCCAGGAACACCTGAAGGCCGAGGTTGATCAGCCCCAGCAACGTTGTGTTGTAGACGCAGAGGCAAATGGGTTGAGACTGAAAAACACCAGGGGGAACGGGGGGCGCGGCAGGGGCAGGTTTGAGAGAGGGGGGGGGAGGAGGCGAGATAGGCCGGGGAATATGTGCAAACGGTGCGCTCTCCTGTGCTGTTCTCGGTGGGTCGTGCGATAATTAGTTGCCACACAGATGAAGAGGAGCGCCGTGGAGTGCTTACAAATGTTTAGCTCGCTTGGCACCTATTCGATGGATACATACACGGTTTCGTCTACTAAACAACCCCACTCCTATGTCCGATCTAGATCTTTCCTTTGTGTCTCTCTGTCTTTTGTCTGCTTCCAGGATTGTGCCACAGTCATTCCACCGCTGGAGCACTGCAATGTTCTTGCTCCCAACCAAAAATTCTCGTCTTTTCATGTGGTCTCGCATAGTCGCCTGGCGGTGGTACAGTGTCTCTACAGTAGTACCAAAGTGAGCTTACCACTGACTGAGGTGAAAACTCTGATTTAGTATTGGTGGTCTACAGACATCCGTTTCTTCGTTCTTGCGATTTAGCGCAACCCTTTCACTGCCGATTACGTTTTCTTTCTTCCTCATCCGCATCTCCAACCCTTTGAGCACGGTCACGAGTTGTTCCACGCATTTACAGGAATCAGGCTACCATAACGATCAAGCCCGCGCCGAAAATTGAGGAATCCTTCACCTGTTCTTCGAGTAAACAGAGTGGAGTGCGTACCAAGGGTAACTACGGGATACTAGGCGTCCAGATTCCGGAATACGCATTCTTCTAGATACTTGCAGATAATGTTGCCAAGAATACAGAACAGTCATCGTGCATCGTACCATCGGGCGCAATACCCTCAAGTGTTGAACACTATCCACAGGACGACCAATATTCGATAATCCTCTTTTCGTGTGTAAGAGGTACGAATTTTTCACATCGTCGTCGCTCGTGAGGATTTCTGATGACGATATGGTGGTGAACATGTGGGTGTGTTTAGTCTTTTCGCCGTGTGCGCACCTCCACCCCCCCTTCCCCACAGAGAACATAAGCCAACTTAATCCTCCCCTGGATGTGGATGTCGTTCCCACCAAGTCTGGACGTGTGGGTCGCACTTGTAGTTGGCTTCGTGTAGCTCTACTGTCATTAGTGCAACCACGAGTGGCGATCACACCGAGGCATCCTCACCTCCCCCACGCCGTCTTCGCAGTGCCACGTCTTTGCTGCCATAATCACTCCGAAGCAATTCAAGCAGGCCTTCCAGGACCACAGTATTGCGCGGAAAACCGAGGTGCCGGACGCCCCCACGCACTTCCAGTTGGTCACCTCTGAAACCACCACACGGTTCGACATAAAGAGGTATGCTGGAAAACTGCAAGGCTTGCTATGGTAACGAACACCATGAAACGCACCATCAAATCTAGCCGAGCCGAGCTGAGTTGAACTCGTCACCTCGTCCGGAAATGCACAGAGTGACAAGGAGATAGTGAACTGCAACACGAAACGGAGAACACGTCTGTTTTTGGCTCACCAGAACGGAATGGATGGCAATTGGGGCAAACGGCAATGAGCCAACATAAGAGCGACAGAAAGCAAACTACAGTGGGGCAATCATCGTCCGGTTTGACGTGCGAACTCTCGGGACACAAATACGTTGTAAAGCTGGAAGGATAACGAACATACCTGATTTCATCTACTCGCGGTTCCTGTTTGAATATCTAGCTACGTGACCAAGTTTGACAATGACCAATTCGTCAAAGACCACAGAACCGGCCTTTTCAAGGTGTCCGTAGTACCGCCGCCACGTTCCTTCAGCGAAGGAATCGTGCAGCCAAGGTTTGACGTCTTCGTTGATTCAATATTTCTCCCCATGCAGTAGCTGCCCTCCGCCCCCCCCCTCTCTCTCTCCTTTCCCGTCTCACCGATGTCGCCCACGGTTTCGGATATGTCCGACCTCTGTGGCCTGTCCATTATCGCCCAGAGAAGCAAGAAGACCGCGTCCACGGCCACGAGTTTCACCACCCAGGTAACCAGTTGCCTACCATCACCCGGCCATTTGGTCGCGGAGGGTTAGCATACGATCAAACAATGGGCGACACACGTTTGTTTGTGCTCAAGCATGAGTGTTGTGTAGTTTTTGAGTTTCGTCAAGATCCACACAGGGTTGAGAGAGAAACCACTGGCAGATAACGCCTAGAACAAAGACGAAGAACGACCATCTGGTTAATGACAGCAGGCGGCAAATAAATATAACCTCTGCTTACACGTGCATGGCCATCGTTTTTTCCGTTCGCAACTCTGTGAACCTCTGTACTCCTCAAATTAGTAATTCGCATGTTCCCAGTTTCGATATTTTTTTGCATTTGAAGAGGATTGATGTTTTCAGCTTCAAACCTTGTGATGAGTATCCCCCCAAACAAGAATGGGTGCCTGGAAATACCCGTGATCGTGATGGCTAGACTCAAGTTTTACAATTTCCTTAATTCTTGTCGAAGGATATGTTTTACCGTACACCACCTCACACAAGATCCTGTGTACTCGCATACAAGCTGCCTGAAGGATTAATGCCTTGTCCAACCCTGCTCAACCTGCATGTACTACCGTAAGGATGCGAGAGAACGCACGGGGGTGCGCTCGATTTATACATGATTTCCGTTTCAACTTTTTATCGCACAAGGCATTACCCTTCAACCAATGTTCACCAAGGTAGGCTGTTTGTGGGTCACCTACTACAGGGTGTACGTGCTAGACAAGACGTTCTCTCTGCACCTGCTCCCTGCGGCCGCTGTTCCTCCTTGTTCTTACCTGTCGGTGATGGATATTCTCGAGAGCTTTGACTCGTTGTTGAAGATGCGGTGAACTCGGTAGGTCTTCATGTACAGGCAGCTACTCACCAAAGTAGGATGAACAGGGGCGAAGTAGTATATGGAGGGAAGCCGGCGATAGCGAGTGGGTGTGTGGGTCGGGGGCGGGGATCCTCAATACTCTACGTCGACAGTGACCCCGATAACCGTTTCTCCATGTTTGATTTATCTGTGTCATTGGTCTTTATTATGACGACAACACAATTCACAATATTGTGATGCCGCATCGCCCATCCCTCCACTAGAAGTCGGGGAGGCGGGAATGCGTTCTGAGAATCGGAAAGCACGTCGGGAGAGGTTTGCTTTGTCGTACACACCCAACAACGTAACCGTTGGTGACGCCCGGTATCCTCGGCAACTTCCAACGCGAATCTCGAAATGCTTCTACGACAAGGGGGGAAGCATTTTAGCATTTTCGTAAAGAAAGAATGGGGTGAAAAGAATGTAGCTGGCATTTTCATGGTTCCTTATGGTAACAGTGGCATTTCGACGGCAACGCGACGAAGTAAGACTCTCGTGCAACAGGGTTCAACCGTAGGAAACAAAGACGCTACTTGCGATTTATTCATCGTCATGGATGGAAACAGCTGTGGTCACGGTGCGTGCGTGTACCGCTTGCTATAATACTTCCAACCCTCCTTGTCAGGCCCTACCCACTGGTGAAGGTCAGGCCGATGTGCAGCATCCACGGCTGCATCACACAGCTAGGGTCCGACGCGACCCCCACGAGGAACGCCGCCGTGATGTTGAGCAGGATGCAGCCGGCGAGGAAGAGCTGGCACACGAACGGCTGGCTCAGCTTGACGATAACGGCCTGTCCCGGCGGGGGTATGAAGCCATGGACACACACGCCCGTATGACGGATATGGAGGGAGAAAGGGACAGACCGACAGAGACAAGGCAGGGCAGGTGACGGTCAGACAGTCAATAGGAGGAGTGGAAGAGCAGAACAAACATTAAGGAGACCAAGAAGGAACAGCCAGCGACGAAGCGAGATACAGGACCGGCATTCAAGAGAAGGGTCAGGAGGGAATTGGTATTGAGGACTTGAACGGGAAGAGGAAGCACAACAAACGTACCGACCAAGTGAGGACAGACACTCTAGGTTTTCGTTTTGTTTAGTAATCAAAAGTCTACGAGTTACTAGAATAGTTCCTCGTTGGGCAGTCGTAGTAAAACGCCTCGCTTGATTTAGACTAACTTTGTAGCCAGATGTCCCGGTAATGCTCTTTGTAATTATCGATTGGCTTTTCAATTGGTAGGTCGCAGGGAGGCGATGCTTGTTCAATACCCACCTCGCGGCCGCGCCTGTCTCGTTCACAGGCCCTGAAAGGTTTACCCGAATTATCCAGTTCCGTTTTCCTCGATATTTGATAGCTTTGTTCCCTCTTTCCAACCAACCGTACCCTCGACGGAAAGGGCTTTGCTCCAGACCCGGCCCTGCCCACTCTCCCCCCTACCTCAACGTTATTTTGGACCAGCTGAGGCCCTCGACGTAGTTTATTTGGTCAGGTACGAGGATTAACCGGTTATAGCGCAGTTTGTGGCGACATAAGCATACAACACACATTCTGGGCAACGTTCATTGTTCATATTTCATGTCTTTGCCCTCCTTCCGGGGGGCTTGGTAATTGCCCACTGACAACTCTGACGTCTTTTTACTTGGAGGGAAAAACCCGCGGAAACATCATTGCGCGCGCTCTCTCTCTCTCTCTCTCTCTCTCTGTCTGTGTGTGTGTCTCTCTCTGTGTGTGTGTGTGTCTGTCTCTTTCTCTCTCTCTCTCCACCTATCTCTCGTATTCACACTCACCCAACGTTCCCGTCGAATCCACCACAGAATCACGGCAGCGTAGAGGCCGGCGAAAGCGGCGCAAACGACTATGGTTGTTCCTAGATCCGATTTCAGGGGAATGTAGCCTGTGATTGGAAATAAGAGTACCAATCAGCGAGGTAAAAGCTAAAGACCGAGGGGAGCAAGCGGCAGGTAGAGACGATGAAGGAAGACCTCGTTTCTGGAGGACCCCGAGTAACGATTCACGCGGGTATCGATCGAGGAACAGACGGATAAAACAAATACAGAAGTAATTGCGTATAGACCAAGACCTGACCAATACCTGTGGGGCCACGAGGAGTAAACAAAACAAATCCCACATACCAGCACACGGACGGTATGGTCGTATCCTCGCTCAAACCTTTGAGGCCTTCGCTACGGCATGTAACCCCAGCATACGTAGCCGGTCGCCGGTCGCCAAAAAACATGCCGTGAACACCGTAGATAGGAACATAGATTGAGTGAAGCCTCTGCGTCTTTTCCCCACTTCTCTCCGTGTCTGTCCCTACGTATTTTTCGCTCTCGCCCCCCATCCCCCCCCCCCCCCC